AGACCCTCTGTGACCAGATGATCTTGATCCCCAATGCTAGATGCAGTGAGGCAGTAAGATGTTCGTCCTAGGAAGGACAATCACCACGTATGAAGGTATATGGGATGTAGATATAGGTGCAAGGGAGAAAAGTGAAGACGAAACCAAAAGAAAAGTCCACACCACGTTTTCTAGAACAGACTAGGGAGGGTGGACAAGATCTAAATAGGATTGAGCCCCGGACTGCCGATTTGCCCCAAGAATAATAGAGGAGAGAATCCGGGGATTGGAAAAGGGGAAGAAATCGTGGGGATGCGGAGTCGGAGAAAGGTATAGCACAGGTCGTCAAAATCTCGTCCAAAGAATGAAGAAAGCCAAGGCGCGGCAAAACGAATATTCCAAGTTCTTCTGTGCGCGTGAGGACAATTACCTTTGTCGCCTCTTGGCGCCTCTGTGGTTTGCCCCCAAGAAGAAATTGACTTCAAGAGGGATATGCAAACTCTGCTCTACCAAGTCTTTTGGATTGTGGAGATCCGATGCCGCTTGAAGATGTGGAGACTTCCCGGGTTTCCAGTAACCCGCGACAGCGTGCATTGTCAGATTTTTCCGGGGTACCCCGGAGGCAATGCAGTGCGCGATCTAGTGTAAAATAGCGAATGATAATAGGTCTGATTGGATATATTAAAATAGATCCACGAATGGGGGAGGGAGAAAATGGCCAATGACCGATTTTGCTAGACATGAGTGGCGGGGAAAAGCTTTTCCCCGGGAGCTTAAGGAGATCGGCCACTGCGAATTATCCGTTGGTGACTGCCTGCCAGGGCATTTATCTGTTCTCCGGCCATCACTCATGGTACCTATGTCTTTTATTGGCTCCCGTAGAGTTTACTGCGTGCCACGGCAAGTTCCCCGTGGGGTATGGGTAGTTGCAGTGGGAAAGCATTCAGCCCGGTAGATGTTCGGTAGTGGCGTAGACTTGATCGAGTATTGAAGCCCAGTATTTTAGTGAGTCCGTGGACTGGGAGTTGACATGCTGTACATGAATGCGGAAGTCATCGGGTTTTGGAGCATACCGCTCGTAAAGGGGCAAGTCTGCATATAGGTCAGAAGCGGGAATGTGGTCTGGGTCCATTATATATGGATGCATACTCGAAGAATAATCAAGTCGATGACGATGGGTAAAACCTGAGGTATGAGCATGTTTCTTCGTTGAAATTTTGGAAGTGACCTGAAGCAATGATCTCCTGGCGGTCAACATGCAGACAGCCGCGGATTTGACGGTGTACCCATTCTACAACTTCAGCCAAGGGTACTCAAGCAATTGTGAGCTTATTCTTTTCTATCTCGTTTTTATTATGAAATTCGGAATCTAGCCCAAAAGAACTGCTTCGTCTCGGGTGGATTAGGAAACTAATGGTCATTGTGAGAGAGAGGGTTAATAGATGCCTCGGTTCAATCTTTCCCCGGACTCAAACCATAAAAGCGGCAGCAGCTACGCTGGAAAAAGGAAAACCCCGGCAGAAGAAATATCCAGACTTCGCACGTATAGTGAGGCTAAGTATTTTCCGTCTGAATTTCGAATTTCATCTTATAACATTGTAGGAACTCCCTCTCTAAGATCTGCTATCCAAGCAGATAAATATACACAATCCATCATGTCCCTCACAGAAATCAACCAAACGCCGCCAGAAGAGCCCATCTCTATCCCCTCCAACCGCGATGGCGTCGCCTATCTGTACGGCCACCCTCTTCTGAACTCTCTCTCCCCACCTCTGCACCAGACAGTTTACAATGCGCTCGGTCTCAATTGGACCCAAATTCCCCTATCCAGCGTGTGTGGTTCCTTAGAGACATACCCTCCCCCCTACACACGGTCGCCACCGATTGAGAAATATCTAGCATCGATCAAGTCCAATCCCAAGTTCGTCGGCTCGTCCGTGACGATGCCTCATAAGGTCGCAATTATGCCACACCTAGACGACCTCACCGAGCACGCCCGCCAAGCCGGCGCCTGCAACACTATCTTCCTACGCGACGACCCAACAACCGGTCAGCGCCAATACGTCGGCACCAACACCGACTGCGACGGCATCCGGGAAGCCCTCACACAGAACGCACCTGACCCATCACGTTTCCGCGGCCGGCCCGCGCTCATCATTGGCGGCGGCGGTACTGCTCGCACTGCGATCTACGTTATGCGCCGCTGGCTCGGCTCCAGTCACATCTACGTCGTCAACCGCGACGCCGCCGAGGTCGCCGCCATCCTCGACGAAGACCGTCGTCGCAACCCCGACCCCAAAGCCCAGGCTCCTCTTATTCCTGTCACCGACCCCGCCGAAGCTGCCCGTCTCGAGCCCCCCGCGGCTATCGTCTCCGGTATTCCAAACTACCCTCCGAAATCTCCTGAGGAGCTGCGCTCTCGCGCTATCATCCAGGCTTTCTTGGGTACTTCTGCCGATGCGGAGAAGCAGCAGGGTGTCATCTTGGAAATGTGCTACCACCCCACGCCATGGACTGAGATCGCTCACTTGGCTTCTGCTGGTGGGTGGAAGGTCATCCTCGGCTCCGAGGCTCTGATTTGGCAGGGTCTCGAGCAAGCCCGTCTTTGGACTGGAAAGGATGTCATCGGTACCCCTGGCCTTGTGGAGCAGGTTAAGGATCTTGTTGCAAGGACCATCGCGGAACGGGAATCTGCGAAGTCTAGTCTGTAATTTCCTTTTCACGATCATGTTTAGATTTTTCTTTTATGCATCGTATAGAGCGCAAAATAGCTGCTAGTTGCATTGTCTATATATAAATGGATGGAGTCTTCGTTTTGACATGCATCTCACCCTGGATCTACCATGAGATCAATACGTAAATGTACATCTCATCAGACGTCTATACAGAATAAAACAAGATCAAACCGCTACGAAGCTATTCAAGCTCCAGGCCGTGAGTACTCCAGGTTACGGACTCTCCGCCAGACTTCCCGTACTGTTCGCTCTTGTGTTTCACGGCCTGTCTCGGTGGTAGATGGGCCAGCGGGTCTGAAATATCATTAATTAGCAACATACAATAGAAGGGAAACAACCCAGACTCACCTAATAGCCAAATACAATCTGCTGCCGAGTTGGACATCCTCGATTGGTGCTGTATCCACATCGTCTGGCGGGTTAGCAGTAGTCATAAGTCCACCAGCCTCCAACAGAATAGCGGCACCAGCAGCGACATCCCTATAATAGTCAGCGCTAGTATACCTTAGGTAAACCCGACTCTCCACGGGATAGTAGAAGACCAAAAGGGAAAAAAAAAGGCAAAACTCACCACTCCCAACAACCTCCCTCCCACCAAATATCGAAAGACCCCATGGCAACATACGCGAGATCAAGCGTCGCACTGCCCAAACTTCGCACACCATGCACCATACCACCTCTCCCATCCCGACTACCCACCTCTGCAGCCATATTAAGAAAACTTTCAATCTTGCGATGCATATTTCCATCCGGAATATCGCGACGGTCTTTACCCCACTCGCAAGAAAAGATACATTGTGAAGGCGCATTGGCGGGCATTGGCGGGGTTGGGTTGTGGATGAGCGGAAGGCGGCGAGTTTCGTTTAGCCAGGCCCCGCGCCCGCTGCAGGAGGACCAGAGCTGATCTGTGAAGGGGGCATATATTACACCAATTATTGGCTTATGTTGCACGATGAAGCCGATTGAGACACAGAACATAGGGAAAATATGTGTGTAGTTTACGGTTCCTGGAAGTGGGGTTATTAGTTCTGTTGTCTTGTAGTGCCTTTGCAACCATGAGCAGTCGGTCATGGCACTGGAGGTCTTGATTACCATCTAATGGGTCGATACACCATGTTGGTTGCTCGTCAATGAGGTAGTCACGCGACTGCCCTTTGGCGTATGCCTCCTCGCCGAGGAATCTAGGGGTCTGTTAGCTTTGTTCCTAGTGGATTGTGGTAAAATGGACTAACTTGTGAGACGGATATTTGGCTTCGAGGGCGCTTCGGATGAATACTTCGACGTCTGCCAAGTAAAACTGTTAGCAACAATGTCTGATATGCCTTATCGGCTGCGCCTTACCTTCGTCAGTCTGAGTCACAATGTCTACTGCGTTTTCCTTCTCCTCGAAGGAGTTAGAGCGGCCATTTGCGTCTGAGATACGCTGATCGACTCGCTCCATGAGTATCTTGCCTGCCTTGCGGCCCAGGTCTACTGCGAAAGCGTATATTTCATCCAGCTCATCTTGTGTGAAGGGTCCGACGGCCATGGTGGGACGGATTAACGTCAATGTGTAGATACAAGAGATCTATCAAAATGGGTTAATATAAGGAAAGATTCCAATCTCGAAGGTGATTGTCTAGCTCCTTGAGTCATCCGGTGAAAATTGGAGGTCCAAAATAACCGCCACTAACCGACTCTCGGGTGTTTATCGAGATGCTTCCCCACTTTATGGAGAATTTATAGGGTCGAAAATATCCCTCGGTATACCTTCAATATAAAAGCTGGTGGTTGTTGCGTACTGGCTACTAATATATCTGTTTATTTGGCACAAGCAATCCGAAGAATCAGCATGGTATTCCGACCCAGGGCTCTTAGAACTACCGATTCCTTTTGAGTGCGAACACGGGCGTAATCACATTCTTTGCTTTCGTGTTAGTAGATGCTGTGCCTGAGCGTGACGGTAGCAATCCCAGTTCCTCTGAGACCTCAAATATGGGGGGCTCTGATGTCTTGGAAAACACATGGGTATCAATAGACAGCGCACCGTCGATGGAGGAGCTCAAAAAGGACATACCCAATCATCGGACAGGCAACCCTGCGGCTTACCTAGTTCATACGGATACTGCGCAGGTGGATAGCGTCAGTGAGAGTATCAATCGCGATAGCCTCTTTTTCCACTGTTGTAGTGTTGTTTTGTCCAGATCAATCCAGGAATATGAAGGAGTTGGAGATGATAATCTTTGGTGCGTAGAATTTCCGCAGACGTGAGATCCGACTTGCCAACCGTGCATTTGGGCTGGAGATTCATAAAGTGATGTCCATCGAGACTCTTTCTCCCTTTTGTAGTTCGTTCTCTAGCCACCTTTTGACTCTCTGTTCACCGTCTTCCTCACCTAACTCAGGGTATAAATCGAGGACCGTATCAAGTTCAGAGCTTGCAGCTTTCAGATGCCTCTCAATCCAATGGCAGTTAGCCTCGACACATTTTTCATGTATCCCCTGGAAGTGAAAGGCAGATTGGAAAAACCGTCTCTCTCCCGAGCCTCTGAGTAATGTCGACACCGTATGAGGTAGATCTCGCAGACGCTCTAGCCTGTGTATCGCGGCTTCTAGATAGTCACGGTCCCCGCCAAATGTTTCTCCCACTGATACGCCGTCGTTGTTCCATCCAGGGACATCAGCTATAAACCACGGGTGGTGCATAATTGCCGGCAGTGGAGCCATATGAATCCAATCCCAATCGACGATCCTGTATATCTTATACCGTTAAAAGATGATCATTTCAAGTCCTTCCAGAACCAGAAAGAGAGAAAAGGATGGAAAAAATAGTCGATTTTGCCTACCCGGTCAAGCGGAAGGCATCAGCTTTCATGATGTTATGTGCATGCAAGTCCCCGTGGGCAAATCCAATACCAGCATACTGATCAAATCGAACAGCCCACCCCGGAATCATAGACTGCATGATAAGATAGTCAATAGCATTACCCCATTACGCAGTTCCATTCAAGGTCCGCGGGAGAAATCTAGGCTCTTCGTGAGCCAGTGCGAGTATAGGGATGGTTGCGCTGCAGTAAGGTCAGGAGGAGCCCGTGCAGTCCATACTTAGAGCAAGAAATCGGCCATGTCATCCAGGAATACTTCGCGTTGAATCTGGGGGATTTGGAGATTCCAAATAGCCAGTGGCGCGCCACTGACCCGTTCCGAATACAGGACCGGGTGTTTTGAGCTGAACAATAGGGTTGATGCTTTGATTGCCGTACATTGTTGTTTCAAGCACAGGAAGGTTTTCACTGCGCGTAGCCCGTTTTTCCAGTTATTGGAATCGTGACCGACTCGAGCAGCCCACTTTACAGAGTCCTCAAAGACGATCTTAAATGCTGTGTGAGATCCGCCTTGACCGGGAGTTTCGTCAACAAGTAAGCAGGGTACTCCTAGGCGGAGGTCGCTAGCTTCCGAGAGAATATCTCGCAAGTTCACCATACTAAAGTCCTTGGATGGTCTGGATTTCAGGCGAGGCGGGGGAGAATTAAGAAAATGGGTTCTGCGCGTGTCACAGCGCCAAGGCTGTCTGTCTGGTTGTGACTCAAATGCCCAATAGATTGAGACAACTGATCCCCCTTACTACATAGCAACGTGCGTGGCCTGATCTTAGCTTTTTTACTACGGATTATGTTTGAGATGCAGTATCACTTTTCCGGTCAACGAATATAATGGGAATCATAAACTTCGTGTGTCGCGACGTCTCAAAGACATCGGCGCATCTGCGGTATACAGTGCCCAGGTGGCGCATTTCGCTGACTTAATACATGAAACATATCTTCAAAACCTAGCGAGGGATGCTGCAGTTGGTCATCAATTATGAGAGCAGCTGGAAGATATTCAAGTCGGTTGTCCGTCCATCTGCTGTAACCTGTCTTTTATCGCTTCATGATCATTATTTCCTTCGTCGTCTTTGTATTCCTGAAGCACAATGCTCCGCATAACGCGCCGGGGAGCGCGGCGGCCGGTGAACAGTTCGAACTGAGCGAAACCTTGCTCTGGCAGAACGTCAAGACCATCCAAGGCTACCCAGCCACGATGTGATAGAGCCCGTATTTGTTTCATGAGAGGGGTATTGAGGGGCTTGTATGCCATCTAAAAACATTTGTTAGGAATAAAAGGTCATATTTGGGATTAGTACAAGGGATAACTGTAAACTTACATCAACAACAACGCCACCTGTCGGGCTTTCTAGCCAGTGTGCGGGCATTTGGAAGTTGGGTGCTAGCTCGCCGCCAATGCTGTGAGCCGGAATCCCCGAGACAACGATCGTCGGCTGTTTGAAGCCTGCAGGCCAGGGGTCGGACAATGAAGCAATAATGTGAACGGTGGGACTGCTAGACCCGCTGGCCTCTTGTGAGCGGAGATCTTGCCGGTTGTAGTGATGGGCTAGCCTCTCCGCATTGGCGAGTGTACGATTATAGACAAAGATATTTTGCACACCAAGATGGATCATGGAATAAATTGCAGCGCGGCCCATTCCACCAGACCCGATGACAAGACCTGTCGATGATGAGCGTACCGCATTTGCCGGGGAGAGACCGCGGCGAATACAATTGCAGATTCCGATCCAATCAGTGTTATCACCATGAAGGCCCTTGATAGGGCCGGCACGGCTCTTTTGGAGGAAGACTGAAGATTCTTGAAGACGAGTATCGTCCAGATCATCGAGGTTGCGGATTGGGATGAGGGTATTGATGGCGCCGATCGCTCGCGCATGCGCAGACATTGAGTGGAGGAGGGGAATACACTCTGTTTTGTACGGAAGACTGACACTTGATCCACCGAAGTATTGATTTTCCACGAGGTCATTCAGCCCTCGTAAAGTAGGTGACTGGTGAATGGAGTACTTGTGCGGCAAACCGCAGATCTTAAAAGCAGTGTTGTGCATTGCGGGCGACATACTATATGTTGTGTTGGCGCCAAAGACGAAGAATTGCATCGGGTCCAAGGCAAATGAGCTATAAAGTGCCTCCTGCGCTTCGCGGGCTGTGATCCATGATCGTAGGTGAGTTGGAACTTCCGTTACTAGGGAGGGGTGTGTGACTGGGGAGAGGATAGGGTTGAAGCAGCGAGACATACGGCCGAGAGGGCCGGTGTTATAGGCGATCAGAGAAAGACTAGCAAAAGGCAGGCTTTGGATGCGATGGCGAAATCTTTGCACCGCGAGGTTGTCTTCAGGTGTCTCGGCTGGTTGGCACAGTCGGACTATATCGCACCCAAGGCTTTTGGCCCGCTCATACACTTTCATATACTCATCGCCATCCCAACCCCCCGGTAGAGGATGGAAGGCTTCAAAGTGGCCAATGATCCTGGTTCGCCCACTTGCAGAGATGATCTGGGAAATAATACTGTCATCACGGGTGAGGTCTACTGTGAGGAAACCGGTGGAGAGCCGCAAGCCATGTCGGACGAGGTTTAAGTAGGTTTCATCAGTACATCGCACAGAAACTTGACTAGGAGACAGAGATCCTGTGGAGGTGGGATAGCTTTCCACATGATATATCAACGGCACAATGATGTTGCGACGAATGGTTGCTACCGCCTGACTGATACTGTCCGCAAGACTTGAGCTGAGGCCTGACTGACCAGAAGAGTCGGTCACGTCGATTGCCAGTTCGAAGGCATCGGCAGTGAATTCCAGCTGCTCAATATCAATACCCTTCTCACAGACCTTAGAGAATGGTACTGACACTGCAGATGTGTACATACGGGATTCCACAGGCAACAGTGACAGCGGGAAAGATGCATGCTGGCTGTTCAGTTCTGCAATGTCACCGGTGATAAAGGCAATGAAGCGGAGAAAGTCCCGCTGGACTCGTTTCAACGTTAAAAACGGAATGGGAGTGTGTGACCTAGGTTCTGTTCCGAGCGTCGGTGATGCATTGTCGCTATCACTTCTGGCCTCTGACAGATTGAAGAACTCAAGGTTTGAGCATCCTCGATATATCGGGCCTGACAACTCTAGGAAATGTCGCACCTTTTGCGTATCCCACGCGTTGAGATATGACTGAATGCTCTCTGGATCTCGAATAACATGGATAACCGGATGTGTCTGCGCAAATTCCCTAAGAATTCTTTGGCCGTTGCGTTCCATCGATCCAGCCCCACAGGCAATCACACATCCTTCTTGGTTATCTGCCAGCATTGACTCAAAGATCCGGGCCTCTTGTTGCCGGTAGACGGATCCATCATTTTCCTTCTTGAACACAGCACGGGAACATCCCACACTCTGCTGAAAGTAGCGGTCTGCGTCGATCAATCGTCGTCCGGATGTCGCCGCGAGGATGACCGCCAGACTTGACTTTCCCGTGCCACGGATTCCGATCAATACAATGGATGCCTTCGGGCTGAAGATGCGCGGGGTTTGAAGATGACCATGTTCAAACAGCGCCGGGGATCCGCGGTTCGAGTGTGATTCTCTCAACGACGGTGGACGCGAATCTTCGGATGCTTCTCTATGTTCACTCAATCGACGAGAAGGAGGTCGGGTTGAAACGTGCACAGTGGGAGAAGGCACGACGCCCGGGCTGTACTTGCGAGGCCCATCGTCTATAGTCTCAACCTCGTGGAGCTTTCGTTTGGGTGGGCGTACCAACATGGACATGGCGCATCGAGGGTCCCACGTGCGGGAATGAAATCAGGAGCAGGGTAGTCGAGGACCCATTACCACAGACGGGAAGGGTGGGACGGAGAGCCGCTGTAGGATATTGAGGTATACGTGAATAGGGGATCCGGGTATGGGAGGGAACCAATGTGATAAGCGGGAACTTCCCAACTTTGCGGGGGAGAAAGAATATTGGTGGAAAAGGGCGCGAGTCTGGGCGATACGTTGCCGTTACGTAAGGCGGACGAGCACTCACCCGGGGATTTTCGATTTTCCTCTTCCCCGCGGGGGACAGATAGGAACGTGCAAAAACACATTGGGGAACTTATCGAAATTGCTGTTATCTGGATTTTGACCCTAGCTGACCCAAAATCAGCTTCAAATCTATATTCTAAAGCTCCGTCTTCACGCGATTACCTTTTGCGAGACAAGTGACTTGCTCACCGCTAGCCGGGTATCCAACCTTCCCGGAAGAACCCTGTTGGCAAGCACCTTGCCTTGTGCTACACCTACCCTCAGCATTGCAATTCTCCCGACGGCCCTATATACCTCCAGTGGGGCTGATTTTCATGGCGTAGTCGCCCGGTCGTCCGTGCAGTTGCCTGTCGGCAAAGGATTCATCACGTATCGCTTTGCGGGAACATGCGCCCGATTCCTCCAAGTGGATCACGAAATCAACCGCCATGAGCGCTGAACAGCGGCAAGCCACCGGCGCTAGCAGCAAATCCAAACGCCGATGGACCGACCCGGAGGATGATGGGAAGGCGACGGGGGAACCGAAGCGACAGCGTGTTTCACGGGCTTGCGATAGTTGCCGGTCGAAGAAGGACAAATGTGACGGGATACAGCCTGTGTGTTCGACTTGTGCATCACTCTGTCGACCGTGTACCTACAAAGCCAACCCGAAGAAGCGAGGCCTGCCAACGGGCTACATTCGGTCGCTGGAGTTGCTTTGGGGGCTGACATTCCAAAGGATCCAAGGCAGTGAAGATGTCATGCGAGCTTTGATGCGATCAATCAATCTTCCGAGTCACTTGGCCACAATGGGCAAAGAAACCGAAGGGTCGGATGCGTTGCTAGCTTCCTTCAAAAACAGCGCAGTGCTCAGAGACATTGAACGCATTTTGATAATACTGGAACAGCCGGAGGAGGAAAGGGAACGGAATCTCCAGGTATATGGCGAGGGGGAGACACCTCTAGATGTCGAAGGAATTCTTTCTTCCGCTGAAGCACAGGAGTGGCAGATCCCAGAAGGCATGGAAGCTCGCGAGACACCGTTACCAGGAGTATCGCCGACTCGAACCGCCTTAGGCATCGCTCCTATGAAAGTAACCGGACCACGCCCAACTACAGACAGCGGTACTCAGACAATTACACCAGATGACCGACCCTCGTCCTCTTCCACCGTTCCACGGAATCCCGATTACCCTCGATCACTCTCCATGAAAACCCCTCTTCAACTGCCCTACAACGCATGGCCCCTTTTTGATGTGTATTTCTCCTACACGCAATGTTGGTTCCCCATACTCGAAAAGCATGATATACTTCGCACCGCTTTTAGATATACCGAAGGCGATCTATACACATCGGGTTTAACACCTGGATCTGGGGAACATGCAGCATTGTGGGCTGTTCTCACTCTCGCCTCTCTCCAATATGCTTCTATATCAGCCTCCAGAGAAGTGGAAGAGCAGCCTAGTGATCGGATGACGCCCTCACAAATGTATCTTACTGCCCGGCGATTGATCCCGCCTGAGAGTGGCCCACACGAAATCGGACATGTGCAAGCACTGTTGATCCTGGGTCTTGTCAAATTCGGACAGCAAGAATGGACTGGCTCCTGGATGCTTGTAGGTCAGGCTGTTCGGATTGCGCATATACTAGGTCTCAGTGAACCTTCATATTCTTCATCCTCGAGAACTCCGGATCAAGAAAAGCAGCTTGGCCGGGCAAAACATGTGTTTTTAGGTTGCTTTGTTCTCGAGACCCTCATTGCAGAATCAATCTCACAATGCCCGTCGCTGCGAAAGGTAGACTTAGCCAGGATAGGCTCTGTCAATGAAGATGGTCTTGAGGAATGGCATCCTTGGGAAGATCAGGCTGGGCTACGGCCCGCCCAATCCTCACGGGCGTCTATGCAACGCGGCCCCCTTCACGCGTTGAGCACTTTCAACCGCCTTGTCAGCCTCGTATCAATTTTGAATGATCTATGCTGTTGCAAGCATGACCCAACAGTATCCCGATCACAGCTGGAGCAACTGGAGTTGCAATTACAGCGCTGGGTAACAGAATTACCAAAGAGCTATCGTGTCGATCTACAAAGTCGCCCTGTGAGACTGGCATCTCCGCATATCTTTGGGTTAGAAATGACATATGAAGGTGTTGTCATTGCTCTCAGCTCTCAAATTGCCATTCGTGAACATGATCAGAACGTACCTGAACCCCCTCACAGAATCCGCGCTACAGAAAGCTCGGAAAGGCTTTTGCAATTACTTCAAGCCTTTATGGAGACATACAGCTTTTCGGCAACCGCACCAACATTCGGTCTGCTGCTTCGATTTGGCCTTCCCCGATCCATTTCTAGGGACCTCCCGTCAATCCTTGATATTGGGTTACGAAACAACATCCACAATTTTTCCTCCCAACTTTCTGCGTTGTGGACTATGTCGGACCAACAATTCCCTGGTCGAAATGGATTTCAAGGATCTCAAGTCATGGGTATATCTCCTACGGTCTCACAACACGTCGATTCCTCTACTGGCGGAGACATGGCAATCCCGCCATCGCTCGCAATAGCCCCACCTTCGCATCTTCTTCATACCACGCATGCGACACTTGCGCCCCAAAATAATACGCATGCCGCGGCTGCCCCTGAAAACTCATTCCTCTCCACGCCTTGGCTTAGAACCACTCAACACATCGAAGATGTGTCTCTTCTCCGCACGCCGTCATCCCTAGCCTCCGCTGGGGGCGCCTCTGAAGTTCCCCCACAGCAGGGCCACTTGGACGGTTCTCTTAACAACGGGCTTCCTCTTCCTACATCAGTGCCTATTGAAGCTCATAATAGTGGCGGGATGCTCGCCGAGCTTTCACCAACATACCATCAAACCGCACAATACCATCCAACGACATATCACGACCAATCGGTCAATATGGGGGCATTTGTTGACATGGATGGCTACGCGCGTCCACGGAGGCAGCGAATTGCCCCTGATCTCGATGCATTATTTGATGAGCTTGCGTCATTAGATGGTGCTGAAAAGTAAGCGTTTATTCCTACTTTTTTAGCATAGCGACTGACTTTGACCCTCTGTAGATCCGACAATCAACCGGAGTTCATGCAGAACCTAGGTTTCGTCTCTGATGCGGGCATTCCTGAGCTCTACTCGTTCTCCGGTCAAATTGAGCCTTTCTTGCTGGCACAGACCCAGCAGCTACCCAATCACGGGGCTCCTCCCCCTGATATGCGACGAGAGTCACAGCCTCTTAACATGTCCGGAACCTCCAAGCGATGATGTCCTATAGGATCATTCCATTCCGATGATCCGAATGCTGTGGGAACACCCTGTCGCCGCTGGTCGGCCTCGTTGGCCTCGGCCTGCTATTAATCTGGGCGCTGAAGATCGAGAGCTATACATCCAGTTCCTGGCTCCCATGTCCTATCGCACATTCGAAGCCTCAAAGCGCGGTCCCAAATTCTTGTGTGTGTGCTGTAATGCATGACACATCTCCACAATACACAAAGCTATTCCAGTCCAAACAACTCGTAATATAAGACAGCGTCTATGACGGATGTGAAATCCCTAGTCTACAGATCTATTTTTCAAATGGATGAGGACTCCCTCCACATGAATTCATAGAAGTTTTCCCATAAAGTGTATATACAATCACAGCGCAGCCTTAGCCTCTTTCTCCTTCTCCTCGAAATTAACACAAACATGCTCAACAGCAACCTTATACCCATAAACCCCAAGACCAACAATAATGCCCGCAGCCTTATCACTGAAGTACGAGTGGTGTCTCCAGGGCTCGCGCGCATGGACATTGCTCACATGGAGCTCGATAAAGGGAATACCGACACCGAGCAAGGCATCGCGGATCGCAACGGAGGTATGTGTGTACGCGCCCGGGTTGATGATGATACCGTCGACCTTCCCACGCGCTGCCTGGATACGGTCCACGATTGCGCCTTCGTGGTTCGACTGGAAAGATTCGAGAATGGCACCATGGCTGGCGGCTATCTCGCGACTGTTTAATTCTACGTCGGAGAGGGTTGTGTGTCCGTAGATGTGTGGCTCGCGTGTGCCCAGGAGGTTGAGGTTCGGGCCGTTGATTAGGAGGATGGATTTGCCCATTTTGGGTGGTTTGGTATCGGTGGAATTGAGGGATGCGATGGTGTCGGAAGGAGTGTTGAATTGAGATATCGGATATTCCAAGGGAGATTATATTGGAAGTAGGTAATAATTGTGTGTTGGCTATCGGATATATTCTTCTTATACTCTACTTCTTGTTCTCCGCATTTTGCCCGGCAGAGCGCTTTGCCGTCAATTCCGTGGGGACATCGGGGGGTTTGGGATGGGCGGATTTGGCCATTGTGATATTGCTGTTGTTTTATTGGCATAGTTAGTAACCATCTTTTGCATAATTCTCGATCACATGAAGTAATTATTCATATCCGAAAAATAGTCCGCTGGTCAAATCTATACCCCGGTTTGTCCCTCACCACCTCCTAGCACATTCCGGGAAGAGAAAATATCTCAAATTGATATAGAGAACTACGACTTGATCAGCTCTGTTCTACTAGCACTACCCAGGTAAAATTGATTTGATTTCCTTCTAATGTCTAGTTAGGGAACCACTTCACTCGAGCGGGAAAATGGTTGGCTGCATAAACCAATTCGACAGCACGTTAGACCCATACACCACATGGAAGCCAATCAAGCAAGTCATTTCTATTTATACTTATAGCTAGGTAGATACCATAGAAACACTCAACGGAATTGCAGGACAGACAATAGTCCGCGGCCGTTTCCGTTCCACAAGCTTGCCAGTGCCTTTATGAAACACGTCTTCCCCCATAACAAGTTCAATCTTCAACTGATGGTGAACAGTGATTCCCTTGGTCACTCTTCCCGGTGAATAGAGATAATCTTCCCAGGGCAGACCACAAGATAGGGCTTGGCCGAACCCCTCGGCGCCGGTCTCATATGCGGCCAGGTCAATGTCATCCACGACCATTGCCCGTTTTGTAATTGTAAAATCAAACGGAATGCGAATCGCTGGTTTTTCTCCTTCCATTGCCTTGACCTTCTGTCCATGTGGCTGTTTGACGTATTGATTGCGACCAGATCCCCAGCACCCTTTTGTACTTCCATCACACAACTTTCGGACAGACTCTCGCTCGCAGATAGAATATTTCTCTTCGGGGCTGCCAAGGTTGCTTATGATCCTGACTATCTCTTCAGCATGCCACCTCAGCTCTCGCACCACAAGATGGCGGAGCTCTGTTGGTCGATCCGCCGGGGCTGTCTCCCAATGAGTATGGATTGTCGCCATGAATGAGATCCTTGGTCCAGACCGCGGTGTTGAGTTTTGTGAGAGGATCATTCCTTGTATGGCGTTCGAGCTTGGGAAGCATAGGCGATGCTGAGTCTGTTTCGGATCGGCCTGAATCATCTGGCGGTTGATCTTTAAGGGTCGACGGTGAGTGATAATCCCATGTTTTGATGTCGCTGCCCTGACTTCTATCACGTAGCTGACGGTTCCAAGAGGTGTTGGTGTCGTTGCGGGTATATTCGTTGGAATGTCCAAACGAAAGGAAGACTTTGAGATAAGTCTCCCCAGGGCAGTCTCAAATCCTTCTTTAGGCAATATCGGCAGAGAAACGTCTTGAAGGATTCGTTCAATCCTTGAATTTCGCAGGGTCGATTTGTCCGTTCGACTGCAGAATGAAGGGCACAAAATCCGCCGAGTGATTTTGCTGTCGGTTGTAGATGTCAGAACTTGAATAAGCCGAACGTGGATCTGGGTCACATTGATCAGGGTTGAAAATGAAGTCGCTGACAGGAGGGCATGTCCTGCAAAATTAGAAACGTCACGCTTTTCGTGACTATCGACATGGTGGGCGGAGGGAGCAACGAGCTCGAGATCGAGAGAAGGCATGATTCCGGTACGCAAAACGAGAATTGTAGAAGTTCTGTTCGCCGCTGCGTGTTTAAATGTGGGAAACAAGGCAGAGAGAAAGGGCCAGTCGTCCTATACTTCTGCTGATACCAGCGATCTTTGCTAAAAGAGGAAGCCAAGACAGAAAGATTGAGTTTATTACGGATCTAGCCTGTTTTGGTGTCAACGCCTGATTGTGCAACTACCTCCATAAATATGTACATACATACATTATCGGTCTAAATACTTCTCAGGGCTACTTCTATAGAGTACATAGAGAATCGAGCGTTATGCATTGATTGGCTACCTAGCTGAATTAGTAGCTTGGAGGACCGATTATCGATCTCAGACTTTGATCCCTGACTATATTTTTGAATTGCACAATCGATCCTCAGAATCTGGACGTCGTTGATCATTCTATGAGGGAAAACCAAATATAGGAACTAATATTCAATATGTTAACACTTCGCCAAATTGTGTACGGAGTAGGTGTACCTGGGATCCGCTCCAATCCAACTGAAAAGCCCGGATAGGTTTAGCGCGATTCGACTCAAAGGCATCCATGGATCAATTTGTGTGTATCACATGACTCATATAAAACCCAAAACTGCTCACACCAACACCCTCGCTCTATTCCAAGGTCATTCGTGATTACTGGTAGAAAAGTCGAATGGGATAGACAAATGTCCGAAGGTTCTACGGAACAGTTCGCTGTTAAAGGTACGGATCTCACCTCTTGCTAAAGCGGGATCCTAACATTGCCAGATTGTCCAACATGTCAAAGGCGGCGTATCAAGTGTGATCGGAGTCTTCCAGGCTGTCTTAAATGTGGGAAGCGCAATTTAGAATGCCCTGGCTACGGCCTACAGCTGAAATGGGTCCAGGGCGTCGCCAGCCGCGGTAGTCTGCGGGGCAGAGCATTTCCCTCCGTCAATGCTCCTATTACAGCATCAAACTCGCCTCATCCTTCGGGAAGTTTAACAGAGACTCATACTACTAGAGACAGCATAAATGCTCTAGATCAGTACAGCTACTCCACGGCACGTTTCTCGTCGGGACCTCTTCCGCCTCCCGCTTCGGAACTTGGCTTATCGCAAGCTCGACCACTGCACGTTTCACGGTTGCTCTCTTGGTTCAACGACCGAGTCGCCCATCGGCTTGCGTGGGTCCCGCAACAAAATGCATGGCGTCACATGATTCTGCCAATGGCTGAGAGCTCGGAAACAGTCCTTTCTTCCATTCTCGCTATCGCCGCTCATGACCTAGCATCGGAGTATCCTCCAAATGACCTGGGACATGGAACATTTCAGCAGATGTCGAAAAGCTATCAAAATAAATCCCTTGCCTTTCTGGCTCAAGAGTTGAACAGTCTTTCTATATCGTCTACATCGGCATTGGAAGCGAGCACAACATCTGCCTACACCCTTGCATCTGTGATTATTCTCTGTAATAATGAGTTCATGAGACCACAAGGCGCTGGGTGGAGACTTCATCTCTCCGCTGCGAGGGAGATCATCCTGGCGGCAGGGAACCGACCTCGCCGGCACCACCAGCTAGCCTGCATCGAACAGTTTCTCGAGTTAGAATTCTACGAGGCTTCGGTGTGGGCTGACTTGACGACGTTTGGTAACTACAACATGAAGATCAAGACTCCTCCTGCTAGCGCTGAGAATGCAGTCTTCACCGACTTCATTCGGGTCATTGACCAAATCACTCGCCTTGAACGTCTGAGATTTTGTTCCAGGACAATCGAACAGGCTCCATCGTATGGCCCGATGCAAGACATCCGGTCGCAGATTGAATCAGCTCGAAACAGCATGATGCGTCTGAGTGGATCCATTCACTTCTCCTCTGAGGCTGATCAACATGGCTTTGAATTGGTAATCTGGATGTACTACCACGCAACTCTCATTTACAGCCATCAAGCTTTATTGGAGGTTGCTACTTGTGGTTATGATGTACGCAAGTCTCGGGACGAAATCCTCCACTATGTACAATTTCTCTCCGAGACTCGAGACGGCATGTTCGCTCAGGACCTTGTCTGGCCGCTTTTCATGGCAGGAACTGAACTCCGAGGACATCCTACCGGTCAGAGGATTATTCAGGAATGTTTTGGCAATGTCATGCGTATCAGCCGCACTCTTGATAGAACGCGTGTTCTCTCGTTCGTTGAGACCTGGTGGAACGATCCTGGTACTCACACATCTTGGATTCAGATGGCTCGAAAGCAAGCTCAATCTTCGCAGTGTGACATTCTCATTGTATGATATATGCTAGACATCCTGAGAAATTAGCGATGTGACTTCATCCACTCTCATGGTTTATATACGCGAAGAATAAAATAGAAGGGTCCTGAATGACTTCGAAAGAATTTTTGGCGCTCACTAACTTTCAATCTTACTCTGGCTTAGAGTGGTTCTAAAGATTCGAAATGGTTGGGAAGCTGTTTTACATGTGGCCAACTTGCACCTTAAATATCATGCACATTCTCATCGGGATGTTTCAAACCTCGTCATTTTCTACGGAGACCAGAGATTTGATAGGCTAGAATCACGGTGGTTTACTGCAGTCTGCGATGGGCTTCTCCCCGGGCGTATCAGGCGCTATACAGTAGCTCTCATGATGTAGGGAAGTTCATCGACGTCGTAGGTGGCAGTTCGACAGAGATTAGTCTAAATCTGATACTGTGTGACGAAGCTACTTTAGAAACATGCCCAGTATCATTTTCATAGAACTCTAGTTTCTCTGACTCGATCGAGAAGCCACCACTGAGCGTAGAGGTTCGGTGAGATACATTCTGGCAAATATAAAAACCAATCATCTTCCTCATACGGGCCTAGGCAGTTTGTGCACCTGACAGATTCATAATAGTCAGGATAAAACCACTATATGGCCAATCAAGGATTCCAGAAATGATATACTTGTTGTCGGCCATTCAGCCATAAGATTGTCCGGCCTTATGTCTCCATGTGTGAAAACGATGCGTGGCCCCGGGCTATTTGTGAATGGCGATGAGAACCGACGAAGAAATTCGACGAGCACATGACCGCCCGCGTGTGGGCTCGAAAACAAAAGGGTCTCAAAATCCTCGAGGCTAATGATCGGTGTCTCACTCGTACGAACATGCCCCCGAAGATCTTTACAACCTTCACCTACGACCCCTCCAAGAGGAGTCCCTTCGGTATAAGGGAGAGTTCTCAGCTCGGTAAGTATCGTGTTGAGTTGGTTGCTAAGATCGGCTTTTTGAGAAGAGTCGAGTATGCGCTAGACTTCCCCAAGCGGCACAGATCGCATGTGTCTCATGAATATGAAAGAAATTCCACTCATACGCACTAATCCAAGAGTTTTTAGTGCTGGAATGCTTGACTTATTACTCTCAAGATATTGTAGTGTGGTATATTCAGTGTAGTCCTTCATGTTGCGGACCGCTTTGATAACTATTTCTCTGGAATATTTAGACACTCCTTTCTGGCGGGGAAACGGAGCTTTCCAAAGAATCTCATTGCTCCTAGAAGCTGAAATAGTCTGTGGAAGAGTCCGACTGGTTCCGCAGTTTGTGACACTGTCTCGAGCAATTTTGCAACCGCATCTGAGAGAGGGAAGAGGATTTCAGCTGGCTGATGCGTAAAGGAGTTGCCGAATGTCTTCATCTGCCTCGGAAAACCTTGGGCATTTGATTTAATGTCTTCTAGCACACAATGATATTAGCTATGCGAAACGAGACATTGAACTGTGATACTTGCTGGAGAGGGATCGCGTGAATTTCGCATATCCATGAGTCGTTGAGAATATTAAAATGGGACTTCCTCGGCCAAGTTGATCTCTGAGTCCCTAATGACGGCGGCTTTAACTTTCCAACACATGAGCATTGAACCTCGCAAGATTTGGATTTGATGTGGAGGTGGAGAGTCCTCCAAGTCAAAACCCCCTTTTGCTGCCATCTCGCATGGAAACTGGAGGCTTCAAAACTCCAAAGACAGTATATATTAAGTACAGGAGGGCACAGGTCGATGTTCTAGGAAAACAAGGGGTGTCTGACAGACAGTACAATTCGATGGACAGTTAGTTACATCGTCACGTGTGCTGATAAATAATTTCAAAATAGTGAAGGTCATGAAGGTCATCCCGAGATTTCACCTTAACCTGTTCCTAATCCGCCTGCTCCATGCTCCAGATATTGTACATCATGCTGCCGGCTAACAAATTATGCTTTCAATCTTACGAGGTTTGGATGAGCGGCTGGGGTTTAGGTGAGACGTCCTGAAAATAATACAATCGCGTGCACGGTGGGAGTATGTAATAGACTTCGGTGTGGTTCTTTCACTCCCTTCACTTGGGAATGAGTTCTAATAAAGCAAATCACTTGATACAGTGATTCTCGAAATCGCCCAACATACACTGATAGACTCTTTCCCGGCCCCACCGCTAAGGCCTTAGTGCAGATCGTTCATTTAGCGGGCCGCATTAAACTGAGGGGCTCCGTAAAATGCGTCATGTATGTTACAGTAATACGCGACGTAAAATCACATTTGCGTATGAAAAGAAAGCCTTACGCCAAGTAACTTGATCTGCTGGGAAACTCTTTCTCCTCGTCCTCCTCCTTTTGTGCGGTGTGCCAGCCATCACTTGCGAGGGTGTCTCTTTGGCCAAGAGCACCTCAGCAGGTGATATTAGCGGCCAAAGACCATCCTGACCAGTCAGCGGTTGTTTGCAGGCGAACAACACCCTCACCGGCTCCTGATGGTGTAAGCCTCAACTAATAATCACTTATTCTTAGTCTGTCGTTAAGTACGCCCAAGAAAATGACTTCCAGTTCTCTCGTTAGCCATGATGATTATGATATTCAAAAAAGCATGGCGCTTGACCCGGGGGCGATACACCACAATATGCACCAACACCTGGCAACTTCCGTTGGTCCCCCGCCTCGCCGTCCAACATAGGCTGCATCAATATCTCCCCTGTCGATTACGCTCTCCACAACAAACTGCTTCGCAAAAGAATAGTCTTTCGTTACTCCAGGTCGGTGATCGGAGGAAGCTCGAACATATGACGAAGATCCACCGACTTGTATCCATTATTTGATCGAGTGGAAGGTCACTTTCAATACCAGGACGGTAGCGAAAGAGATAGAACAAGATCTGGTTCTAGCCCCTCGCTTTCACTGGAGGCTTTTTTTTTACAACCAAAGCTAAATGAGTTACTTGTAGGAAAGTATCCATAGGGAACTTGAATCGGATGACACGTCTGTTGTCGCATCCGCCACTCGGCAGAAGGGCCTCACTCTGAGGTTTGATGGAACCGAAAAGATGCTAGAGTGGCCCTCGCCAGTTTGTTGCGAAACTCTGCCAGGCAAAATTGCGTAATGTATTTTTAGGGTAAAGCAAATGAAAGTAAGCTCTCAGCGAAAGAAGAAGAAAGGAAAACATAAGCCCGAAATCGTAAGATATCAAGGTATCTAACCTCAATGATTGGAAGCGACTTTTAGAAGCCGCGTAATGAGAAGCAAGCCCTTGGTAGAGTTGCATGATTAACCATTAATTCTTGTGCATTAATGGTTTATCCTGAGTCTTTTATCACACCTTGGAAGCGGTGACCCAGCCACCTTGAGAGGTGAGGAGGGTGAGGGCGATGTGTTTATTGTCCTTAGCACAGCGCCTGTTCGCAGCATGCCAGGTAGCGCGACGGCAAGTCGAGTCGCCATTGCATGCTTGAATGCAATGTTCCAGACTTGGAGAGGCGACGTTATGTGGGCTAGCATGATAGTCTGCGTGAAATGATGAGATAAATACTTGCAATAGTTTTGAATGGTCGAACTTACACCGCTGACAGTTCACACGATATCTCTGGTTTCCGACGGTCACGACCTTGTCATGTGCCTGCGGGCCTGTTGATAAAGAGCAGTGTGTCAGAATATAATGACGTCAATATAAACCTATGCTATACTTACACACGGCCCTGATAGGAGGAGGCCTCGCTTGGTTTGCCTTTAAGAGCCGCAATCTCCTTAAGATTGCTGTTCTCCGTCTGGCAATTTGCCAAAGAGCCTTGGCACTGAGTATGCGAGGATTGGGAGGATGAAAGGTCTTTTGCACTGAGTATGTGAGGATTGGGAAGAGGAAAGGTCTGTCTTGCACTGAGAATGTGCCGATCCAGAGGAGGCAAGATCTTGATTGCACTTGTTACTCGCGGTTTGACACTGAGAGTAACTAATCTGGCATTTTTTACCGGTTGATTGACAGTCAGAAAGTTCCTTTTGATTTTGATTTGAGGTTGATCGGGCGGCAGAAAGATCGATCTGGCACTGGGAATGTTGGGCGTTGCAAGACGTTAGATCCTGGGCGCAACTGTTGCTCTCAGTCTGGCAAAGTGGAAGATCGGCCTCGCATTTTTTACCAACCACCTGCGATTCGGAGAGATTGGCCTCACATTCCGTGAGCTCGGATTGGCAGGTTTCACTGTCTTTGTTTGACAAGCCCAAATCATTGCGGCACACGGAGAGGTCGTTGTCGAGCTCGTGGTTTTCTTGCTCGCACTCCTGATTTTTGGACTTGAGGTTACAGAATTTCACTGCTAACAGGGGAAGACACACTACCATTGCGGGCGGGGGCGGCTGCAATGAGATTCTATAGAAATCTACCTGACTCTCGTATGCGTCAAGTAATAACGGTACCATACGAGGCCATTTTATGGGGCCTGCTCAATAGTTGATTTGCGCTAAGGCCTTGGCAGTGGGGCCCAGAAAGAGTTACCAAGAGTGTGGTGGTCAAGCCGATTTCGAGAACGACTGTAGGGACATAGATTTTGAACAGACCTCCTCTCCAAGCGCCCAGACCAGCCGAACAGTTGATGAAAAGGGAGTTCGCGTCGATCGGGGGTAGTGTAAGCCCAATGACACAGTGCGACAAGGCATGCGCAAGCACAGGGGCCAAGTCGCGGGGACCAAAAATAGGAATAATCAAAGTGTTTCCTGGGCGGAAACTTTCAGAGATTAAACTGAAAAGAACAGATACTACACTTGATCTAAGCCAATAGGCAAAGAGAGCTGGAGAAGAAAGAAAAGAAGAGGAAGTTCTGGGGGCAGGAGGACATACTTATACCCTGAGGGCGGTAGGATTTTGCCACTTTGATATTTGTGGCAAGTCCCTATTGCCACCGCTTTCCACTCCGCCTGGACTACGGGTGGCAATATAACCAACTATCATATTCCCAAGCTAATAGACTGGCCATGTTCCAAGGATTGCTCAATACAAAAGTTCTAGAAGGAAAA